CAGAAATGTGTCACATTCTGAGATCTGCAAGGTGGTGTTATTGTGGAGTAACCAACTGACCTTTGTCAAGCATTATTCATTAGATTTAGCTGCTAGATCTGATGCTAAATTTGAGATATTAGTCCTACAATCATCATTCAGCTGATGCAGCTGAAACTTCTCATTCCCACCATTCTGAAGAGATGCTGCTTGTCAGTCTCCTACACTGACACATACTCAAAGAATCAGCATGGATCCCATGACCTGCCCTCCATCTATGCTTTTTGCAGTCCCCTGCTACCCCAGGCTTTGAATTATGAGAGAACTGAGGCAGGGTCATGGCTGACCCATCCTTTATGCCCTTGTACAGGAGCATGAGGAGACATGGGACACGCATGGCCCACGTGCACACTGCTATTCAAAAAACAATCTTGTACACAAGACGTGCATGCGGACCTACAGGGAGATCCATATTGGCTGCAACATCTCAAAGAAACACATTTACTGTAGTGTAAGTAACCATTCTCTCCATGTGGCATCATATTGACACCCACGTGGTTCATCAGCAGGATTGGAAACTTTAGATCCACTGCATAGACCTCTTTCACAGGAAGTAATTGAATAACTGATCACAATAGCAGGTTGTCATCTTCTATGTGGATGAGCAGTAAGAGGATGAGACACACCCTTTGCCAGTGGGTTTCACAGGTATTTGCTAATGGCAGAGGAATGGTGAGACTCAGGAATCTTGGGTTCCATTTCAGGCTCTGGAGATGAATGTGTTCCTGTGGGACCGACTCTCTTCTTCCCCTTCCCACTCCAGCTTGGGTCATGTAAAAGAAAGTGTCTGGCAAAAACAAATTATTGGAAAAGATTGTGGGAAGGTATAAAGTCAGGAAAAGTAGCATAAGATCAGCACAAAAACTTATGGCATGTTAAACTAGGTGGTGGAGTTATTTTAATTCGTAAGTATTCTAATTCTACAAAGATTCAGTTTGGGGTAATAGTGTAATGGAGTCTTTCATGTCTCATTTGCCAGTTCAAATCCAGTCTAAGTTTGTAGTGACTGAAAGCTACCACTGCTTAATAGCAGTTTTGATGACTTGTGTAAAATGAGTTGGTGTTCCTTATCTAGTTTGTACTGAAGTAGTGACCATATCACAAAAAAACCCACAACCATAATTGGAACTAATTTACTCCTTTTGTCAACTATCACAATAGATATGTCTTGGATTAAATGGATATAGAACCTAAACTGTCCTCAATCCTAGACATGGTCCTTCCATGTCAGGGTTGGTAAAGCAATGAAGGAAAGATTGCACTACTGCTGCCTGTATTGTATGTCTTTTACAGGTAATTAAAAAACTTTAGCAACCGATAAATCTCAGTTCTGCCTTCTAGGCTTGTCCTGAAACTTTTAATATCATATACTGTAATTGGCAACAGAAGGAGTCAATTTCCATAGTAGAATGGCTGTGTTAGTATTTTTAATTAAGTGGCACAAAACTTTGTTACTGCAGAGTTAAGGTTATCCGGCAATAGCTTGCGCCCTTTTAGAACGTTGAATTCAGCAAAACTCAAACTTGTGAAAACCAGGAAATACAGAGTTACGGTACACACCCAAGCAACCATAACTCTGCCTCCCTAGAGATGGCAACAGCCACTGGGAATTATCTACGTGAACTCCACCTGCTTTCACTGTGTTAAATGTAGCTAGAATGGTGGAAGAGCTGTGATTGTGATCTGAGATGAACTGGGGTGCTGTGGCTTTCTGCGGTGTATGAGAGCCCCTCTCCCTGAGTGTGTGATAAAAGGAAAAAGGTTCATGTGTACCTTGAGAGATCCAGTATGCCTCATTTCAGTACTGTGTTGCATAGAGGTCGTCTTGTTGTGTGGATTGTGATGTCATAGGTGGGAGATTAGTGTGGTCTGAGGGTTTTGTGAAGGATAAGTGAAAGTGTTATGTATCGTGTGCATAAGGGTGAAGAGGTAGTAAAAGGCTGAAGGAGTTGTAAAAATAAGGTGATGTTTTTACTGTGGAGCAATCTTAAGTGTATGAGTGTAGGGAACTCCTCTTCAGTACAGGACAAAGGCAGAATGTGAGTGTGTGTGTGCAATGAGTGTATTGGCCATTACTCAGAGAGGACAGAATTAAGGTTGCATGGCTATGTACCTTAACTCTGTATTTCCAGGTTTTCACAACTTTGAGTTTTGCTGAACTTGACCTTCTGGAAGGGCACAAACTATTGCCAGACAACCGTAATGCTGTATTAACAAAGAGTTTTTTGCCATTTAATTTCCTATTTTTTTACTAGAAAGATAAATGTTGGTAGGCGTTAATGGTCATTTAGGCATGGAGGAGTGAAGTTTAGATGCTCCTGTGAACAGGTAATAATACCTAGCTCTTACATAGGTCTTCAGTAGATCTCAAGGAGCGATCATTATTCCCCTTGTAGAGATAGGGAAGCTGAGGTACAGAGCACTGACGTGCCTTGGCCAGTCACCAAGCAAGGAATAGAGCTCCCAGTTCACTGTTTTTCTCCACTAGGTCACATGGTTGCTATGTGGTTCCTAAATGTACCCCCACTCATCAAACACACACACACTCCACCCCCCAGGTACGCTTTGTTGTTTAAGTGGAATGGGAATAATACTCTTATTTTGAAATGTTTGGAGCGTGTAATTGTTTACATAGCCAATAAGAGAAATTTTAGCCCTGGTCTACGGGGGGGGGGGGGGAAGAGGAGGTTGATCTAAGTTACGCAACTTCAGCTACACAAATAACGTAGCTGAAGTCGACGTACTTAGATCGACTTACCGTGGCGTCTTCACCGCGATGAATCAACTGCTGCTGCTCCCCCGTCAACTCTGCCTGTGCCTCTCGCGGCGCTGGAGTACAGGAGTCGACGGGAGAGCGCTCGGGGGTCAATTTATCGCGTCTAGACTAGACGCGATAAATCGATCCCGACTGGATTGATAGGTGCCCACCGATCCGGCAGGTAGTGTAGACATGGTCTGTGTCTCCAGAATTTGATTGTTTTGTTATATGGTGAGAGAGCATGTGAGAGAAGACTGGTGTCTCTCCGCCTCCCCCATCCATCCACCATTTCCAGCTCACTCTCCCCTTCCTGTCCCATTAAACCATTAACATTTTTGAAGCCAAGTGTGCGCACACAAAGTTGGTAGAATCTGTGAATTTTAAGAAAAGCTGGGGGAGGGGGGCGGGAAAGGGGAGTTTCACGGGGAGGAGGGATCTCTTGTAATCAAAAATACTTGGATTACATTCCCACAAAATAATCTTGTGCAAATGTCCCCAAATTTGGATCATTAACCCTATCCTGAGCCCCTATAAGGCACAGCAAATTTCAAGACTATTAGGATGTGCGTGTGGATTTTGGAACACTTAGAAAAATAATTATTTAAACAGAAAAATCTTCTCAATCTTAACTGTAGCAGAACTAGTGCTCCACTATAATATTGTATAAAATAATTCAGCAGCAGCTGCTTTGCAATATGCAGATATCCAGCACAGCATAATCCTAAAAGCATAGGCGGCTCAGAGAGGTCTGAAGTGGACCATTCATCTCAATGTGATGGTCTCAGATGAATGAGAACACTCTATAGATGAATGAGAACACTTTAGGCATACAGCCTAAAACAATAGCTCTGAGACGGGTGAGCTAATCCATTCATGTCAGTGGATGTTCCCATTCCTCCTCCCCAGTTCTGGAGAGTTTGTGGTATGTATCTTACATACCCATTCTCAACTTCTCACCTCAGTCTCAGCAGTGTGTTCCAGGTGCATGGACTGAGCATGATTGTTCAAAGCTCTCCACCAGAGGGGCAGAGCTTCCCCAAGATCATATTTTGCGGGGGGGGGGGGAGAACAGGCAGGGAAATGGGCTTATTCCCTCATGTGAACTAAGATCTGGGGGTGACAGGGAGAGGGACTCAGACACCCACCCAGAAAGACAAGACCCCAGAACCTGGCTCTCACAGGGAGGGGAGAGGGGAGGAGTAGGGCTCAGATACCCCCCCCCCCAGAGAGGCAAGGCCTCCTAGATCCCATGATGGGGGGCATGAAGAGGGGTTCAGATCCTGCATAGTGGGATGGGGCGGGCAGATCCTGGCACAATCACAGAAGGGAAGAATGTGGTTCTGACAGGTGTCACTGTTCCTATTCTCCCCCTGTCACTTACCCCCATGTTCCTTTCCTAGTGTCCCTGCCCCTGTGAGCCCCACAACCTTTCACCTTTCCTACCACCCATTTCCTGTAATCACCTTTCCCATAAACCCCCTTCCTTTCAGCACAGCCCCAAGCCCCTCTAACCCCGATTCCCTCCAACTCCTCTACCCTGTAATGTGCCTCTTCCATGCTAGCAAGCATTATTTTGTGTACAAAATAATAATAAAACCTTGACAGACAGATTTTAGCAATGTGCCCTCCAACGTTTTCCAGATTTCTGCTTGAAGGTGTTTGAGACTCTGGTGTGATGATTTCAGCCTTGGTTGATCTCTGTCTGTGTGCAAAAATTCGTTGCCAAAACATGTCAGCTTTAAGAAAAGTTGTTTTTTCTCTAGGGATGGTATCAAATGGTCCCAAATTTGCATCACTAACAGAACCTCACCACAGCATGAGGCATACCAAATGTCAGGGAAATCCAAGTAACCATGTAGATTTTAGAGCACTTGGAAGAGTCAAGCTAGAAACAGAAAAGCTGCTCTTAACCTTAATGATAGCTGGCACTCTGCTATAATATAATGGGTTCAGAAGAGAAAGGAAGTGAGAGGTTCTGAAAATGACTTTAAAACTGAGTTTCCTTAATGTAGCTTAAACAGTTAACAAACCATTTTTACACTCCCTTTTTTACATTGAGGGCCTGGTGGGAGATGTTTGTGTTATAAGCATACATAGATCTTTAAATGTGTTTTAAAGATTTTAATGGCCCTTTCATTTTACCAAACGAAGAAATATTAACATTCATTTTGTTGTTGTTGTGTCTTTTCTTTTGTCAATGTAGATCTGAAGAGAAATGATTATACGCCTGACAAAATTATATTTCCTCAGGATGATTCTCCAGAATTGACAATTCAGCCTGGAAGCTGCACCAAAGAATCAGAATCAACTAGTTCTATTCATCTGATGCTGTAATGACATGAGCAAACATTGGCTTTACACAGTGTCACTAAGTTGTAGATTATCTGTCTTCCACTAAAATCAAATGAAAGAGAGATCAAAACAAAGAACCAAGTGTTATAAGTGGAATTTTGATATCTGGTCCGTAATCTAAGGACCTAACAACTTGTGGTAACCATCTACAGAGATGAGCTGGCAGCTGATTATTTTAAGGGTTGAATGACAAGAATTTATGAAATGTTTTTAAAGGGTCTTTTTAGAAGAAGGTTATTTTTAGTTTTGCTTTTGTCCAGTGGAGGTTCGTCTGATCCTGTGGTGCAATAGGCTCTTGACTAAAAGGACTTTTTTTGGGATGTTTTAAGGCAAAGTGTCTGTTTGGCAGCTGGCTTACTGTCAGCCAGCTAGAGAAATAGGAGACTGCATCCTTCTTCATTGTCAGAGGTTTCCCTGGGCTTTGTCAGAAGTGTCCCATCTTATTAGATGCCATGTAGTTTCATCTGGCCTTTGGAAGGGAACAGATCCAAAGGATCTGTATATCGTGCCAGTATGCTGAGGTTGAAGTCAGAAATGGATCTATTCCAATAAAGAGTTTGTCTCCTGAATCAGGATTCAACTTCACAGGTGTGAAGCCAGTTTTCATGGAATAGAGCCTTAATTGTGTAATGAAATTTCTTGTTTTTATACATTTCAGTTTTATCAAGTCACTGTCAAATAGTAACAAATAAAGCCAGGATAGACTGGTATAATTACATCATATAGTAGAAAAGAGTACATGCCGGTCCAAACAAGAAGTTGCCTTGTTGAAATAAAAAAAGAAACAAGTCGGGGAAGTGCTTTTTCTTGTAATGACTGCTTCTGAAGTTATGCCTTCCAAAAATCTCATAAAACCAGTATCAAAGCAGAATGTACACATGAACTTTTAAATGTATTTAAAATTGTATAGAAACATCTTTAATGTTATGTTGTTTGTGGTACTTATTTAAAAAAGACTAGGGTTGGTTTAGCATTATGTAAAGTACGGGAGATTGCAATGCAACTTTATGCCAATAAAATGTAATTTAACTGTCCCAAGTCTTGTTGAGTATTCAACAAGAAAAACCTGTTGTCCAACTGAAGTTTCATGCTGCGATTTTTATTTTGTTTGTTACATAGGTACTAATTTGTAATTTTTAATTGAAGGGCAATATAAAGCTCTCTAAATTTTTTTTTTATTCAGTAGTGTATCTTATAGATACAGACCTAAGGCACGAACACAATAGCTGTTTAAATCGTGTTTTATGTTGATGGGGGAAAGGTAAAGTGTATTAAAGATATAATACTGTATACATTTTGTATATCATTAAATCTTTAAATCTAAAATAAATTTATTCTTGTTTACAGACTTCTGCTGTCCTTATCTGAAAGGGATGTCTTAAAGTTTCTTGGGGCGAATATGAGTTTATGCAGGAGCATAGAAATGGCCATATTAGATCAGGCGAGTGATCCATCTAGTCAGGTATCCTTGTTCAAAGGTGACTAATGCCAGAAGCTTGAAGAAAGTGTAAAAACTCCCCTATTGGACAACTATGTAATAACTTTTGTAATGAATAAACATGAGTATAAACATTTTAAGCTAATTAAAATGTTTATTTAGAATTAGGAGCACATTCATTAATTAGAGTTATATGAATATAAAATTATGGGGTAGTTTGAGCAGTGGGTATGATTGCAGTTCTGTCTTATTGCTGTTAAGTAAACTGGAAGACGAGTTTTAATATGTAAATCTAGTCTTTCAACTTTAATTCCTGTATCATTATATTCTTAGTCAAACAAAACTAACATTTAATGGACTAGATAAGGACGTTTTCAGAGTTCAGAGGGAATGTCTACCACAGGCAATTCTTCAGGGATACAATCAGGGGCCTGGAAGGATATATAATAGAAGCAAGATTATAAAAACATTTCAGTTACTACAGGAAAAAAATGTAATAGAACTGTGGGTATGTGTGTCCATATGTGTACACGCAAAATTTGCAGGCTAGGAGAGTTCGACACAAACATTTGACAATAAGTTGGTAAGAATAAAAACTCCATAACTAGTGAATTTATTTTTTGAAACCCATTTTTGAACTTTTGAAACCTTGATGTGTGACAGTAGATAGCTCACTGCTCTACAGCCAAAATACTTCTGAAATAAATGTAGTCAAACTTTACTAATTCTGGGTCACTGAGAACGAAAATGATGCTTAAAATTGATTGGCTCTAGTTTTCAAGATATGCTATTGGGTCAGTATATATGACCCTTGATGGCAGAGGATAAGTGAGTTATAAAGGGAAGGGATCTCAATTTAAAC